TCCACAATCCACTTTTTAAAATTATTTGTTCTGATAATTTTAACAGGATATTTTTTATAATATATGTTATCTTTCCAAGAATAGATTAAAGAGTCATGATATGGAAGAACAATTAGTATAGCTATATGATAATGATTACAACTTTAATTTGCACAAGAAGGATTTTTAAATTAGAGCTGCTTTTCAGCAGCCCAACTAATCTAGATGATGAAAAATTGAGAGTTATCTAATCTGGATAACATGTGTATGATCACATTCCAGTTCCTGTCATGTATATATGTAAAAACATATGACAGATTCCAACCACTTACTTTGGCAGCATCTGTGCCATGTTCATGGTGATTTGGGAGCCCCAATCTCCACCTTGCAAGTAATATTCCTCAAAACCCAATCTCTGCATCAGTGTGTGAAAAATCCGAGCAGCAGCTAATGAGTTAAAACCTGTTAGTTGGGATAAACGTGATATTAAAAATGTGTTTGTCTTGAACTTAACATATAATCAGAAGAAGCCAAAGAGAATAAAATTCAGATCTGACATCAGAAAAGTCAATATTCAATAAGCGTATGGGAAGCATTTCAAATTCACAGGATTCCTGAACACAGAAACTACTAAAAATGATTTTATTGTGACATAGCTGAACTTCAGTGCACGGCTCAGTTTAATCCAGTGGTTCTCAACCTGTGGGTCGGGACCCCATTTGGGGTCGATTGACCATTTCACGGGGGTCGCCAAGCAAGGCTGTCCGCCATTTTTTCCCCTTTTCCGGCAGGTGCCTTACCTCCCTTGGGCTGGGCCAACTGGTGGTCGGCCTGCTCCGTCTCTGCCGCTTGCCAGCTACGCCTCAGCTGGCGCAGGGGGCGGAACCACGCATGCGCGGTGCTCCCAGGCAGGGAAAGTCCTCGACTTACGACCGGTTGGGTAGTCCTCGACTTACGACCGGTTTAGTCCTCGACTTACGACCGGTTGGGGTCGCGGCATTAAAAAGGTTGAGAACCACTGGTTTAATCTGTGGCATTAACATCGATGTGCCTTTTATCACTTGTAGCATTCATAATGCAAGAAAGCCTGTATGTGTCACAAGAGCTGTTGTATATAATCAGGTGACTTCTAGATGGCACAGGTAGACAAAAGAACTATTTTCTGCCACCTACCAGTAGTAGTTGTGTAACATGGATTTAGCAACCCCAGACACAAACTAGTACCGGTAGTTTGCCAATAGTCTGTACATTTTGCATTTCATTTCTGTTTTACCTCATTTTGATAATCTCTTTATTTTTATTTATTTATTTTTCATAATTTATATGCCGCCCTTCTCCCCACGGGACTCAGGGCGGCTCACAGCATATTAAAATAACACAATACAAACAACACACACAACAATTCCCCTATAAAAGCCAATTAAAAACCAAATATTTGTAGCTGTGACATTATTAAAATCATTAAAAATTTTCCCTATTTAAAATTCACCCTAGGTCAGTCCCGCTTGCTGAAAAAGCCATGTCTTGAGGGCGCGGCGGAAGGTTAGGAGATCCGGGATTGTCCGGATCTCGGGGGGTAGCTCGTTCCAGAGGGTGGGGGCACCCACAGAGAAGGCCCTCCC